ATTGGAATTTTGTTTCGCTGAGCTGCTCTAACAAAAAAAGTTCCGTTGGACTCATTCATATTTAAAATCTTGAAAAAGTAGGATTTTTATTTAGTTGTGCTATTGGCATTTCAGTTTATTTATTACATAAAAACATGCTTTAAAAAGACATATTTAGCTCAAGAAAAGCTTGTAGGTTGATGTTTTTCATTATGTACAAATCTTGGAGGACAGTCAGTGTAGTCACATTTGGAAGAAAGGCCATGGAGAAGTCATTTTAGTTGCACATAATCTATAATTGGAAGAAATTTGTATCCTTTGGTTCCTTAGTACATAAATTACTCAACTATGTGCAGTCATTCTTCATGCTACTTCCTTTTTAGCATCAACTTTCTCTCACATTTGCAGTTCTTCTTGGCTACCTTCGTCTACAGTATATTCAGGATTATTCTTTTACCAGAGAGTTCTGTGTGCTGTTTTGTTGTCTGGGTATTTGCAAGTGAGTAGACAAAGTTTAGAGAAAGTAATCCCCTTTCTTCCCTGCCTCTCTTTTCTGTTATTACAACCCCGGCCCAATTTACTTCCTCAGTTTGTCCCTCTCAGAATAATGCCAAAAACACTGAGATGTTAACCTTCTTTAATCTTTCCATTTTCCCCCCCAGTCACTTACTGAATGGTCCATGTGGGCCAAGCTTCAGCAATACAGGGGCTTACAGCACAGGACAAACTTGGGCCTCATGTCCTCGTGTCCCAGGGCATAGAGAAATCTGCTGCAAGTGGACAAAATATTTGATAGTCTCCCTAGTGACCCCGCAATTGATCAAATAAAAACTGGTGCTCTTTGCTTGGAGATCATGAAGTTTAAATCAGGGTGGAGATTAGAAACCCTCCTGACAAAGAATACAGACAAGCTACATGAAATCTAGAAGCCCTTTGCCCTCCCCATGTCCTGGGTCTGTTCTCAGACAGGGCATGGAACTATATGCAAATTCTACCACCATGGGGGTTACTGCTTCCACTTTGGTATTGAATGCTCTGTTGGGCTCAAGGCACTGGTCTTGGTCTTCAGAAGTCTTAGCATCACTAAATTCCTGCGTGGGATGGGGCACAGAATCTAAATGCCGCTGTAGTAGGAACTCTTTTCCTAACCTTATCCCTAACCACATTGGCTAATCAAGGTTAGCTCTTAGTAAATATTTGTCAGTGAATGAAGCATGTTTAACATCCTGGCTCTCAAACTAGAGGCCTGTCTATTGAGGTGCAGTGGACTTAAGAAAAGAATGTCCCCACCCACCATCCCTGCAATTTCTTTCTCTTTTTCCACCTCAGTCCCACAGGAGGATGCTCCCACGGTGGAGTTGGCACACGATGGCCAGAGTAGAAGCAGTTCCCCATTGTCTGGGTGTTAGCTCTTATTGGACTTCGATTTCTTACTCTTGAGGAGGCCAAGACATCAGTTAGTTCATGAAAGCGTCATCCAAGCAAGTAGGGAGCACCAGCCTAGAGTGTGTCTCCATCTTCATATACAGTCTTTGCTGTCTTCAGAGCAGGGCTAAGCTTTCCTGGCCCCCTTCCCACAACATTGCTACTGTGGGAAGTGGGCTTATTCTTAGTTCAACTGCTTGTATGTGAACAAAATATAAACACATCTGTACAGTTACATTTCTGTTGGTGACATTTGTTGAACAGTAGGTTGCCTTTTTATTTGCTTAAAATCTTAAGAGGAGTTATGTATTTAAGCAGAACCATCATGTAGGAAGGAAACAGTATTCTCCTGTTGAAGACCACAAACAGCTGAAACTATTTACTTTTTATATCAATCTTTGAGAAATGATAGAGATGATGGAATGCATAGTAATAAATAATTTTACATCTGAATATATAACAGAAAGAATTTTTAAAATTTCAGATAACTATTAATACCATTCTTATGCTGGTGGGTACTAGTATCTTTGATCATTTGAATACAGCTTTCTTAATTTCAAATTTTTTTTAATCTGTTATCTCTTTATCAATGAAGCTAATAAGGGCATTAAAACATTGCCTAGTTTATTTTCTTTTAGATACGTTTACTGTGGCTAGGCAACTTTTAAAATAACTGCTTTGCTCTTGTATGTATGTATATATGCATCTGTGTATTGAATTTAAAAAACTTACCAAAGAGTTCCGAAGTTAATACAGAGAGGGCCTGTGTACCGGTGGTTCTCAACACTTGGCAGGGGGTTCCCCCCAATTGCTCCCAAGGATATCTGGCAATTTCTGGAGACATTTTTGGTTTTCACAATTGGATGTGCTACTGGCATCTAGTATGTAGAGGCTAGGGATGCTGCTACATATCTTACAAAACCATGGACAGTCCCTGACAAACTAGAATTACCCAGGCTAAAATGTTAATAGTGCTTGAGTTGAGAAACTCTGCTCTAGCCCCATTTCTCTGATGATAACATATAAATAACCATGGCAGACTTATCTAAACAAAGAAATTCATGTTGGTTCAGTTTTTCTACTAATGTTCTTTTTCTGTTTCAGAATCTGTTTCTCCTTAGTCTGATACACTCTGTGACACTTTTTCTGTCTTCCTTTGTTTTCATGACCTTGAAACTTTTGAAGAGATTTAGAAGTGTTTCTTACTTGGAGCTGACTGCCCCACTCCTACCCCCCAGCCCATGGAGTATATGGAAATGGGATCTATTTGTGGGTTATATATATGACTGGAGAGTGCTATGGCATTTAGAGGGTGGGGAAAGAGAGATAATCAGTGTGGTGCATGGTGCAAGACAGTGTCCCATAACACTCCCACCCAAAATGCCAACAGCACACCCCCATTGATGTACTAAGAGCTCAAGCCCTTCCTAGTAACTTATAGACAGTGAAATTTCTTGTCTCAAGACCAGCAATTGGCAGTAGTAAGTTCAAAATAAAAGCTTCAATTTTAGAGTTTCAGTCCTGGAACTTTTTCTAACAATAACTGTCTCCATTGAAAATGTAAGGTTTAATATTTTCAGCAACAAGTTTAGTCTTTTAAAAATCTTTATTTCTAAGTAGATAAAATATTTTTCATTTTATTTGCTGAAGTAATATATTAAAGTATGGATTGCCACCATTGAAAACTTGAATGCATTCAAAGAACTTGAATTCATGGTATAGTTCCATGGTGTTGGGGACAGAGGAAAGTATTTGGGGCCACAATTGTGTTGATGGAGTTGTAATGCCCCCTTTATTTTTTATAGTACATATTCCACACCTCCACAGTGTATGCGTTTATTTACTTATCTTTTGTCTCCACCTCCTTAGCAAGCTCCATGAGAGAAAGGACTTTGCTTTGTTTAGAGCTGTATTCTATGGCTTTCTAATGGGGAATACCATGAAATTCATATTTGAACAGTATTTAAAGAGGCTTTATATGGAAAGAATAATATAGGGAAAGTAATTAAATGACTCTTTACCTGATTTCTGTCTTTTTATACCTGAAATTCTATTTGGTATTTGTTTAATTTATATAAATGTTACATACTACACATAATATCTTAGCTCTTATCTTTTTCACTTGATGGTGTATTTTTGAGATTTCTTCTTTTGTTTTGAGACCTGAGTCGCGCTCTGTGGTCCAGGCTGCAGTGCAGTGGCATGATCTTGGTTCACTGCAACCTCTTCCTCTTGGGTTCAAGGGATTCTCCTGCCTCAGCTTCGCGGGTAGCTGGGATTACAGGCACGCATCACCATGCTTAGCTAATTTTTGTATTTTTAGTAGAGACAGGGTTTCCCATCTCTTTCCCAAAGTGTTGGGATTACAGGCATGAGCCACTGCACTGGGCTGAGATTTATTCTTTTGTTTAAAAAAAATATGTAGCTCTAGCTCAATGGTTGCCACCAGGGGGTGATTTTGTCCTTCAGGGGATATTTGGGAACACCTCTAGCCATTTTTGATTGTCACGACGGGAGGCAGTCCTGATACCTGGTAGATAGAGGCCAGGTTTGCTGCTAACTATCCTGGAAAGCACAGAGTATCCTCACAACATAGAATTATCTGGCCGAATCATGCTGATGTTGAGAAATCCTGGTCTATTTCTTTCCTTTAATCTATGGAACAGTATCCCCTCGACAGCATGTACCATATTTATTTTATCCATTCCCGTCCTGATGGACATTTAGGTTGTTTCAATTCTCTGCTGTGATGACAAGTGCCGCAAAGAACATCCTCACCAGTGTCTGTGTATGTGTGCCACAGGGTTTCTGGTAGCTGTGTTTTCTGTTCTAGGAATCACTTTCAAATGTCACTCCAGAGTGGCTGGACTCATTGCTTCCACAGAATCACCTGGGATTCCAATTCCATGTGTCTTTACCAGCACTTGGTATTATTTAACTTTCACATTGTTGCCAATTTGAAGTTTAAAATAATAGATTATTTGTACAATTTTGCATTTCCTGATTGCTAGTAAGACTAGACCACAGGAGTCATTCACACCCCAAATATTCTAGAAAACTGGTGAAAATTTTTTTTGTCAAGCATGAGCCACTTTATTTGGTTTGTCCTTACATCTTTGATGTATATTATAAAACCGCACATTTTAGAGGACTGGCTTGCCTGTTTCCGCCAGTAGAGGTCACTGTCCCTCAGTGGTTCTCCACCAGTATGACTTTTGACCTGTCTACTCTCCCAGGGATTATTTGGCAAGGCCTGGAGCCATTTTTGCTAGTCAGGACTGTGAGTGTGCTGCTGGCCCCTAGAGGTGAGAGGCCAGGGATGTTGCTAAGGCCCTGCAAGGCACAGGACTGCGACCCCCTCCCCCTTCCCCTTGCCCTCCCCACTCCCCTCCCCCTTCCCCTCCCTCTTTGCCACTTCCCCTCCCCTCCCCTCCCCTCCCCTCCCCCTCTCCTCTCCCCCATATGCCCTCCCCCCTTCCCCCCCCACCACCAACAAGAAAGAACCATCTGGCCCAAGTAATAGTGCCAAGCTGGAGAAACCACGGTGTTATCTTTGAAAGAAAGACTATGACAATCTCTATGATAATAAAGACACCTATTAACAATGACATATTTTATTGCAGAAACTGGGGAGAAGCATGCCTTCTGTCCCCAGGGAGAAGTCAGGAGTGAATTGGCAGGGGAAAGGGAAGGGTTTTGGGGGAGAGGAGAGGTGGGCCTGGGGCTCACAGAGTGGTCGGCTGGAGCAGTGGGAAGTGCCCTGGTGGGGCCGGTGGCTGGTGTGGGTGTGGAACTGGAGTCAGCAGGCTGAAGGTGCTGAGGGCTGGAGGCTCAGGAGGTGGTGGCAGGGGCCTGGCTCTCGGAGCAGGGCAGCAAGCTGGGTGTGCTCAGAGGCGCATGGCCCCCAGGTGACACTCCTTCCGGGTGCAGGCAAGCCTGAGGTGTCGGTGCAGTGCTGGCCACAGGCCCAGCGCTCCTGTGGTGGCTCTGCGACTGGGCCTCTGGCGGCCACACTTACTGCAGTGGGGCAGGCGCCCGCCAGGGAGAAGTGAGACGATGCTGCATGTCTTCGGAGACTGCTGGCTCCAAGTGGGGCATCTTCTCACCAGCCCAGATCTGGGCACAAAGGCACAGGCCACTCCGTTTCTTATCACAGCCTTGAAGAAAGATGGCCTGGGTGCCGGGTTACCTCTGTGCTCCTGCGGGGCGATTTTCATGGTCACCAGGCTGCGGACAGGCTGGGGGTGGCGGGCATTCCAAAGCCACCCCTTCACATAGGCCGGGTGAGCCTGGGAGAAATCTGGCCAGACGTTGCTCAGCAGCTGCGGCCTGTTGGGAAAGCACCTCCAGGCCTCGGGGACCATCTGTCTCCGGATGCGGGTGTAGTCCCAGCCTGGAGGAGCGGTGCGGAGGGGCCGGGTGCTGACCCAGCGGTTCCCATGGAAGTAGATGACCTTGCACTGCTCCTGGGCCTGGGACCAGATCAAGGGTCTGGACCGCGGGGAACAGTGCTTCCGGGTCGGGCGCGGCTTCTGGGCCCAGGACCAGCCCAGGAAGCGGCTCAGGTAGTTGCCCATGAGAGCGGGGCAGTGGGACGGGCCTTCCAGTAGACACTGGGCTGCCAGAAGTTTCAGAAATCTGTGGTCAGGGCTCAGTGACCAGTGACCGTTCGCGCAGAATGTCTGAAAGCTCACGAGGCGCCGTGTGCAGGGTAGGTCTGGCCACGAGGTGTCGCACGGGGCAGAGGCCACGCCCACACCAGAGCCTCATGGGGTGTAGATACAGTGGGGGTGGGTGGCGCCCCATGCCTTCTGGAGGACTAAGACAGCTCAAGCCTCGGTCCTTCCCACTGATGGTCCCAGGCACTTAGCGCTGGGCAGAGGGGCCTGGCAGCTGCCTGTACTTTTGAACCTGACATTAAAGGCAGAACATAGAAGAATTTCTGCCAGGTCCTGAAAAGTGCAGATACCTGTTGACAGAAGGGTGCTCTCTTTGATCTGTGTGAAAATGATCACAATACACTTGGATGCTCTAAACAATCCTCTACTCATATCCGGTTCTTCTAGGATGGATGTTAATGTTGCTTTTTCAATTTTGCTCTTAATAAACCAGGAAAGCCGTCAAGTTTTGTTTTACCACTGGCAATGTTGATTTTATGTGGACTTTCCTTTAACTTCCTGAATACATCCATGTACAGATTGTCTCTCTCTGAACATTAATATCATTTCTCCCGTTTCACTTTTAATGGTAATACAGAGGAGAGTGAGTCACATTTCCAATTTGCGGTTGAAAAGTGTAACTGCAAAACAAAGAGCTAAAAGATTGCTGGCGAATTGATTATAGTGCTTAAGTTTGGAGGTTTGTTCAAGGCGATGTAAAATAAACTGTTTTTGAGAACCTTTTCCTCAAAAATACACACAGAAGGTGCCTTTTGGCTTGGCCCCAGTGCTGTGGTGGAAGAGAGACAGTAGATGCACACAGAGCAAGTATGGAATCATGAGGGGGCGCAGATTCTGTCTGGATCTGAGAAGTGGAAGGCTGAATGGGCAGGGCACTAAAAAGAGTTTAATGAGAAAATACCAAAGGCTTCTGTGGTTCAGGGAGGGCCAAGCATTGGGGAAACGGGGGCTGTCACCAGCCGGTGATGGAGAATTAGATCCCTAGTGCTCTCCACTGACAATTATTATTTTTTGGCAGATTCCCAATTATTCCCTGTAAGGAATGATCCCCAAGTATTTTGAAACAATGGGAATTTTCTATATAATTATCTTCTTACTGAGATCATTCTTCATAATGGTAGAAATGACATACTGAGTGAATGGTTTAATACCATTTGGTGTGACATTCTTCTAATATATTTTTTCTTTCCACTGTTTGCAGAATTTCCCATGTCCTACTTTGCAATGTGACCCAGAGGGTATCATTCTGGTTTGTGGTTACAGACTCTTCAAAAAATCACACCCTTCCTGCTGTTGAGGTGCAATCAGCCATAAGGTAATCACCCTTAAATATGTCTTCGATTGGTCAATCAACTTGCTGATTAATTCAACTGTTTTTAAAAATAGATATTGAAGACTTTTCTCTGTTTCACACGTGAGTTATTTATTAAAATGTCAAAGATTTCATTTTGTTAGTTTCTATAAGAGATGAGTATAGATCAATGGTTCTCATCCGGGGGCAATTTTACCTTCAAGGAGACATTTGGCAATGTCTGGAGACATTTTTATTGTCACAGCTGGAGGGGTGGTGGTACTACCAGCATTGAGTAAGCAGAAGTTAGGGACCCAATAGCTTCCCCTTTTCAGTAGATATATAGACTTTACTTTCAAAAAATATATATATATTTTATTGAGATGGAGTCTCACTCTGTCGCCCAGGATGGAGTGCAGTGGCGTGATCTCGGCTCACTGCAACCTCCGCCTCCTGGGTTTGAGCAATTCTTCTGCCCCAGCCTCCCGAGTAGCTAGGATTACCAGTGCGCACCACCATGCCTGGCTATTTTTTTTGTATTTTTAGTAGAGGCAGGGTTTCATCATGTTGGCCAAGGTGGTCTCGAACTGCTCACCTCATGATTTGCCTGCCTTGGCCTCCCAACGTGCTGGGATTATAGGCATGAGCCACTGCACCTGGCCAAAAAAGATAATTTTTTAAAAAGTGGTAAAATCACGACTCTCATACAAACTAAACATGATTACTATAAAAATTTTATTATCTCATTAGTTAATGAGGACACTAGTAACATGTTAAAACCGTTTTCAAGGAGACTTCAAGAAACCACCCATATATAGAAAATGAAGAATGGCAAAATGCATTTACAGAAAGATGCATCAGTCTATTTTTCAGGCAGTAACCAGTTATGTTCCACTAGACACAGTTCATTTGATTTTGTATGGACAGGAATCATTGACATTATGTTAGTTTTCAAGAACTTATGGATTTGCAAAATAGCTCAAAGACCATAAGAGAGGGAAATTGCCTAGAAAGGTGCTTTCAGTAGGACAATTGGGAAAAAGTCCAGTATTCTGTTTTGCCCATTTCAAGTATTTTACATTTTTTCCCAACAGTTGCACTCCTCCCCTCCTTCTGATCATGAGAAACTCAAAAGTGAAACAAATTCTTGACTTCCAAGAATTAGTCGGATGCAACTTGTACTTCTTTTAATTACTGTGCATTTAGTGTGTGTCAAAACTTCAAATACCACATGTGATTGATGTTGGTCAAAGGTATACTGGAAAAATGGGCTCAGGAAATAAACTAGAACAAAACAAAGTAGCTCTCCCCACAGAAGATTTACCAGTTACTGGACACGTATGTTCATAGCAGCCCTGTTTACAATAGCAAAGACCTGGAACCAACCTAAGTGCCCATCACCGATAGACTGGACTAAGAAAATGTGGCACATATACACCATGGAATACTATGCAGCCATAAAAAACGACAAGTTCCTGTCCTTTGTAGGGACTTGGATGAATCTGGAAATCAACATTCTCAGCAAACTGACACAAGAACAGAAAACCAGACACTGCATGTTCTCACTCATAGGCAAGTGTTGAATAATGAGAACACGTGGACTCAGGGAGAGGAGCATCACACACTGGAGGCAATTTGTGGGGGCTAGGGGAGGGACAATGGGGGGAAGGAAGGGTGGGGAGGGATAACATGGGGAGAAATGCCGGATATAGTATGCACCTATGCAGCAACCCTGCATGACCTGCACATGTATCCCAGAACCTGAAGTAAAAAAAAAAAAAAAGTTACTAAAATGCATATTATTCTTTTTCCCAAGGAGGAATACCTAGTGTAAGAACTCATTAGCTATCTGGAAAATGTCAACACTTAGGATTATAAGGTTTTTGTGAACATCATCTATTTCTTTTGCTGAAGCAAAGGCGCTGAAGATCTATACCAGTGAGAAATGGTTGAATGTGCCCTAACAAGAAAGTTTGAACTAAATTGCTTCACTGCTACTAAGAATACTCTTAAGACTTTCACTACTTAGGGAGTAAGAATTATAAATATAATTTACGTTAAAAAAGTTTATGTCTTATGATCTACGAGGGCTACAAGGAAAATGAAGGCACTGGGTTAAACCAGGCCTTTAGTTGATGGGAGGAGGAAGAGTGAGTGCTTTGGTTGAAGGTCCGGGGAATGTTAATATAAAGGAAACAATGCCACAAAAGAAGGATAGAGTGAAAAAAAGGAGAGCGGAGTGAGGGGTAACAAGATGGCGACCGAGACGGTGGAGCTCCATAAGCTGAAGCTTGCTGAACTAAAGCAAGAATGTCTTGCTCGTGGTTTGGAGACCAAGGGAATAAAGCAAGATCTTATCCACAGACTCAAGGCATATCTTGAAGAACATGCTGAAGAGGAGGCACATGAAGAAGATGTACTGGGAGATGAAACAGAGGAAGAAGAAACAAAGCCTATAGAGCTCCCTGTCAAAGAGGAAGAACCCCCTGAAAAAACTGTTGATGTGGCAGCAGAGAAGAAAGTGGTGAAAATTACATCTGAAATACCACAGACTGAGAGAATGCAGAAGAGGGCCGAACGATTCAATGTACCTGTGAGCTTGGAGAGTAAGAAAGCTGCTCGGGCAGCTAGGTTTGGGATTTCTTCAGTTCCAACAAAAGGTCTGCCGTCTGATAACAAACCTATGGTTAACTTGGATAAGCTGAAGGAAAGAGCTCAAAGATTTGGTTTGAATGTCTCTTCAATCTCCAGAAAGTCTGAAGATGATGAGAAACTGAAAAAGAGGAAGGAACGATTTGGGATTGTCACAAGTTCAGCTGGAAGTGGAACCACAGAGGATACAGAGGCAAAGAAGAGGAAAAGAGCAGAGCGCTTTGGGATTGCCTGATGAAAAGTTCTTGTTACTTTCTGTTCTCCAGTGTTTTCCATTTCTCTGATTCTTCTTGGTCACATATATACCTAAATGCACAGTCATGTGCCTACATCCTGCCTCGCAATGAGGGAGCATGTACCCCAGGTACATCCGTGAACTGCAGCAGCAGTTTGACTTATTGCTGTTTCAGCTTTAAGGTTGTTGTGTTTCTGTTTTTGATTATGTTGCTTGTTAATAAAAAAAAAAAGAAAAAAAAAAAGAAAAAAAGGAGAGTGAGCTCACTGCAGCCTTGAACTCCTGAGGTTCAAGTGATCCTCCTTTCTCAGCCTCCTGAGTAGCTGGGACTACAGGGATGTGCCACTACACCTGGCTAATTTTTAATTTTCTTTTTGTAGAGATGGGATCTTGCTGTGCTGCCCAGGTTGGCCTTGAACTGGCTTCAGGCGATCCTCCCATCTCAGACTCTCAAAGTGCTGGGGTTATAGGCTTGAGCTACTGCACCCAGCCAGTGCCAATATTTTTTGAGTAATTATTATGATCTCTCCTTTATAAATTAAAAAACTGAGGCTCAGGGAGATTAACCAATTTCTTAAGGCCACCATGCTAGAAAGAAAGAGTGAGGACTTGAACCTAGGCATGCTGCCACCATATCCAGTGATGTTTCCTGTTGACCAGAGTACACAGAGAACTAAAACAGACATCTTAGAACTGGTTGGTCATTTCTTTACACAGAGTGCTTAGGGTGAAGGTCTGGGAAGTACATGAATATGTTCACAACAAAATGTCTATTTCAAATGCCCTAGCAGGAGAAGCTATTTAGGAAGTGGGGATAGCCAACAGAATGAGAATTCAGAATCCAAGTAAAATACTTGAAATGGGCAAAACAGAGTACTGGACATTTTACTGATGCAGAGTATACATGGTATGAGGTAAAGGAGTTACCAACTAATTCCAAGATGTCTGTTTTAGTTCTTTTGGGAGGGCCTGGCCTAATTCAACACCACTCTTGGTTGAAAGATATACATGATGCTTGATGCCAACTGGTGATTCCAATGGTGGAGCAGATTTAATACGTACCTGAGCTAGAACTTCCAGTCAGTCTGAGAGGTGACAGAATACATTCCAAGCCTGGAGTGAGACAGTAACAAAGCGTTAGTGAACCAGGAAGATAGAATAAGGATGCAGAGCAATTTTTCATTTTCCTCTGAGTTACTTCTTAGCAGTGGGTTTCATTATTTTGTGGAAAAGTTCATGTTCTCAGATGATCAATATTAGGTTATGACAAAGGGAAATACTCCATTGTTTGATAAAATTGACATTTAAATTATCCCTTGCTGTAGATTATTTGGCTAGAGTTTGCTCTCACATCCATGAATAATCATGCCTCAGCATAGATTTTTATTTACTAAAGGAGATCTTTCCTGATAGCCTGGTGCTGGCCTGCGGAGATTCTCAAGCTGTACTATCAGGCTGACTTGGGCTATTCAGTACCATAGCCACCAGCCACATGTGGTTATAAAGCAGTTGAAGTGTGGCTAGTTCAAAGTCAAGTGTGCTCACAGTATAAAATATAAACCAAATTTCAAATATATAGTATAAAATAAAATGTGGAACCCCAGCCTGGACAACATAGCGAGACCCTGTCTAAACATACACATATGCACACACACACAGAGCCAGGTGTGTTGGTACACAACTGTAGGCTTAGCTACTTGGGAGGTTGACACAGGAGGATTGCTTGAGTCCAGGAGTTTGAGGCTGCAATGAGGCCTGCAATGATCATGGCTATCTCAAACAAACAAATAAGCAAACATAAAATATGCAATGCCAACTGAATACTGATTACATGTTTAAATTATATATTTTTGGATATATTAGACAAAATATATATTACTAAAATTAGTTTCATCTATTTCTTTTAGTGCAGCTACTAAAAAATTTTCAGTCACACGAGGCTCACATTATATTTCTGTTTTCCAGGGCTGCTCTAGCGGTAGATAAAGTCAGCTTGCATAGTACGAATTCAATAAAGGTCATAAAATATCTCCAAGGACTCTCCAGTTTACAAATTCCAGTCAGAAATTCACTTCTTTGGTTTTAATTAAATAAGTCTTTGCTACTAACCTCTCCTTAACTGCCACCACCACTAAAAATATATGTATTCCCTAGGAAAAGTAACATTTTTCTAAGCTTTTGAACTCCTAAACTATTATTGCCTTTAGTCCTATGGAACTATTTGCAGTCTGCTGAACAAGTATTACTTTACCATGTCTCCATTCCTATGCTCACTCCATACTTTGGTCTAAAAAATTCCTACTTGTCCCTCGAAACAGAGCTCAAAAATGACCTCCATAGCAAAGCAGCTCTGAATTCTCTCTATGGTGTACTTGGCCTTTCCCTCTGCTCATACTGTGCCCATATTTGCCTGTTTCACGGAATATTTTGCACCACACTGTAGTTGTGGATTTACTAGGCTGTCACTCTTCTAGACTATAAGCTCTTCTGTATTTTAATTTCATGATCTATCTCTAGCATCTAGCACAGTATTTGATATTTAGTAAGTTTTGGGCAAATGTTTGTTTAATTGATGAAAAAAAAGATCAAGATCAAGTTGATGGATTTGAAACCACTCCTGGTTCATGTTTTCTTTTTTGCTTCTGGTTTTCTTTACTTCTCACGTTCATCACCCATATTTTACATGTAATTTTACTTTTGGGGGCTGTGATATTTATGTAAGCAACCTTAAATAGAGCTTTGTCATTCTAATCTAGAGGGTACTCACACAGGACAGGTGAAACCCAAAGTGGGGCTTAGCCCATGAGGGTTCTGGACTTTTCCCAGGAAAGAATTCAAGGGAGAGCCAGAAGTAGAAGAAACCAACTTCATTTAAGAGGCAGTATTACAGCACCAGTGATGTTAGTGCTCTGTGACTGCTCCTGCAGAGCAGGACTACCCTGTAGGCAGAGAATAGCAGCTCAGGGCACTTTTGCAGTCATATTTATACCCACTTCTAATTACATGTAGACTAAGGAGCAGTTTATGCAGAAATTTCTAGGGAAGTGTAATAACTTTGGGGTCATCAGGTCATTGCCATGGAAAGGGGTGGTAACTCCCAGGTGTTGCTATGGCAATGCTAAACTGACATGGCACACCGGTGGGCATGTCTGATGGAAAGCTACTCCCCCACCCAGCTCTGTTTTAGTTAGTCCTCAATTTGGTCCAGGGTCAGAGCCCCACCTCCAGAGATGAGTCCCTCCTCCTACCTTACTACCTCTCAGGAAATAAAACATGGTGGACAGAGCTCAAAGCTCAGGACATCTGGATATTCACAACAATGGGGGCAACAGTGGATACATGGGCATCCCTCTGGCAGCCAGCACTGTAACTTAAGAGAAACTGACATGATTGCCCTCAGCAAACTTTCTAGTCAACTTGAAGTCTCCTGCCAGGAGGATGCTTTGTTTATAGAGATATTTATAATCATGGAGAAACAGGTTTGTACTTTGTCTTAATAGGGTTTTTCTGTCTTATTTTGTTTATTTTTACTTATCACTGCATTTTAGAATGAACAGGAACCGGATCAACAATGCCTTCTCTCTGAATGACCAAACTCTGGAATTTTTAAAAATTCCTTCCACACTTGCACCACCCACAGACCCATCTGTGCCCATCTGGATTATTATATTTGGTGTGATATTTTGCATCGTCATAGTTGCAATTACACTACTGATTTTATCAGGAATCCGGCAACGTAGAAGGTAAGATATTTAAAGGGAGTGATTGAAAGAGCATTTTCTTATTTTCTCATGACTTGGACAAATCAGGAGAGGATTTTCCTCTGGCTAAAGATAATGCCTTAAATTTGAAACTTTGAAAAAAATTGGTGATTTTCAAAAGTATCACTTATGCTCTTGTCTTTAGATATATTTTAGAGTCCAATGCCTGTTACTTAACTAGGCTTTTCCCACAACTATCTTTCCCTTTATTCTGTACCACATAAATGTTTCATATCCAGACTTGAATATCTGTGTTGTGATTTTGTAAGCTGGATATAAGGAGCTAAACAAGCTTTTTGGGTAGACAGAGTTAATCTTTGGTAGTCATCCACATCCAAATGCCAGCAGTTTCATAGTTCCATGCCTCCCTACCTTGGTTTACCTCTTCTTAGCTCAGTGCATGCAGGCTGCCATCTTATCCCAGATGTCTTTGTGCCTTTTTATACTTCCCTCCCTTTAATGGACACTCATCCCTAGTGTGTCTGTGTTTCTCATGGCCTTTAAATCAACTCTCAGCATCAGAATCACCTGGAACATTTGTTTTAACATATAGGTTCCTTGGCTCTATTGCAGACCCACTAAATTAGAATCTCTGAAGGGATGCATTTTAATGAATACCCAGGTTATTCTAATTCATTGAGTTTGAGAGCTTTCAATTTAACAATCTATAGATAGATTTTCACTTCTTGAGTTCGTTTACCTAGATTCTGGGGGCACTTGAAAACTTTTGTGGGGCACTTGCAAACTTAGATGTCTCAATTATTGATACTGCTTCAAGAGGGAATTTAACACCTGTAGGGAAGTTTCTGAGGTAGTGGAGAAGAAGAGTAGACAGCATTTCTCAGCGTGATTTTGTTTACCAGTACCTCTAATCCAGTGGGGAAGAAAGAAAAATCCTCAGCTTTTCACTACAAACTTTAATGCTTCTAACCTTCCCTTGTGATACTATGGAAGAGGAATTCTGGTAAGTGGTAATTACAGTGCCGTGAATTTGAACACAGCAAGGACATGGTTTTCAGAAGTGTTGGTTCCTGCATGGGATGTGTTTTACCAAGTAAGTATGTGTTTGACTAAATGCTCCTCTTGAAGTTTACTACTTTCCATATGTTTCACCTAGTAGCTAACAGAAAGTAATAGTTTTAATTCTTGGGCTTTGTAATTTTATTCACAAATAATAAGTAAAATGCTATGAAATAAATTTTCTGTCTAGTCCTCAAATTAAATTCAGAGATTAGGATCAAGTTACACTTGCCTGACTTTTTTAAAGATTTTGCCTTGTTTTGGTTTTTCTTTTGAAAATATTAAGAAATATTCTCATGCAATGCTTGAATACCTATGTTTAATATTTTTGTTTTGTATTAATCTTGAGATGCTGTGATTCTGTGTTCTAACAACTGTAACATTAGTGAATTCACTCCATCTACTTGGTTTCTAATTTCCTCACTAGTACAATGTAGCGTAGGAGTTAGAAGAATAGACTCTGGAAATAGATTGCTTAGTTTCAACGTATTTATCTCTTAGATTCTGCCCTTGCATATAATCCATTAACTGTACGGATATCAGGAAGCACAATGAGTCAAGGAAACCAAACTTAGGAGAATATAATTTGTGGTGCTAGAGTCAAGCTGGTTAAGTTTATTTTTACTGTTTGTAAATAGATACCTTTTCTAGAGTGACAGTGAGGTGTACTGGAAATAATTAACTTGGCAGGATGAAAAGAGTTAATACATAGAGTGCTTAGAGTGGTATCTGGCACACAGTGAGTGCTCAATAAATGTTAGCTGTTACTATTATTTTATGATCTTGCCATTTGCTGGTCTTTCAGATAGTTCGTGCTGGGATCAGCTATCTCTTTCCTTCTGAGCAGATTCTGCAGTAATATAATAATTGGGTGTGTAGCATTATAATCTGTTACCTGGGAGAGGTGAGGCTGTTGTCACAGCCTGGCCTTCACAAATTTATTTCATGTTCAAACTGGGAAAGCAGATGGGCAAATCTCTTGTGTAAACCGGGAGAGCATCAATAATTAGCAAATATAGTCAGGAAAATTAAGACAGCCTTCTGAAGATAAATTGTTTGTTGTGTTTTAAGTTTGACACAATCTGTGGTGGGTTTCTCGTGGACAAAGTGGTGCTTCAAATGCAAGGAAAGGGTGCAGTCTGAAGTGAGGAGAGCCCCGAAAATTATGGCAAAGATAGGGTTGCCCCCGAAACCTTTAGTTTTGAGGAAGATGGTCAAAGGAATGTTCAACAATCGAATCCATACGTTACATAATAATGAACATAGTTTGTGTGGTACAAAATCGTAAACTTAGAAGACCTGGAGGGACCATGGCATTATCTAAGTCACCATTCTGCTTCTGTGGAGAAGAATGCCAGAGTCATTTAACATACATATATATTTAAACTTACTATTGAGGAAATTTCTCAGCAAAGCTTTAACAATTCGGTTATCTTTGCCAATAACACCATTGTATTAATTATTCAGGGACACTGAGAGTGGCAATGTAGCCCAAACGAGGTAAACTCAGATTCCAGCTCTGCCCTTTACCTGTATAATCTTGGTTGAGTCACCTGATTACCAGGGAATCTCAGTTTCTCCATCTGCAAAAGGAAGGAGAAAGAGCTTTCATGAGGACTGACTGACATAAATGTGTATAAAATACCTAGGGTATAGTGTGCACTAAATAAACAGTAATTATTATTATCCAAGATCAGCTTAATCTATTGCTATGATTAAGAGGTGCTGGGAAAGGATCTCTTTTCCACCAAGATATTGCGGAAAATATCTTGGAATTTTCCACCAAACTGTAGAAACTTCTCCAATTCACCAACTCATTGCTTGGGATTTTATTAAATGCTTGTTTTATTTTATTAAGGTTTTGTTGACAAATAAAAACTGTATATATTTGTGGCATATAAGTTGATGTTTTCATATATGTATATATTATGAAATGGCTAAATCAAATAATTAACATGTTCATCACTTCGCATACTTATTTTAGGGGATGAGATCACATACTTAATTTAGGGGGTGAGCATTTAAGATCTCTCTCAGCAATTTTCAAGTACGTAATACATAATTATTAACTGTAGTCATCATGCTGTACAGTAGATTGACCAAACTTATTCCTTTTGTCTAACAGAAACTTTGTATCCTTTGACCAACATCACCCCCTCCCATGCCAGCCCCTGGCAACCACAATTCTACTCTCTGCTTATGTAGATTCAACTGTCTTAGATGCTACACATAAATGAGACCATGCGGCATTTGTCTTTCTGTGCTTGGCTTATTTCATTTAGCATACTGTTCTTCAGGCTCATCTGTATTGTCACAAATGTCAGGATTTCCTTTTTTTTTTTTAAAGGCTGAATAGTATATCGTTGTACCACATTTTCTTTATCCATTCATTCATTGATGGACACTTATGTTGATTCCATACCTTGGCTGTTGTGAATAGTGCTGGGTTGAACATGAGACTGCAGAAATCTCTTTGACATAATGGTTTCAATTCTTTTGGGTATATACCTAGAAGTGGAATTGCTGGATCATATGGTAGTTTATTTTTTATTTTTTGAAGAGCTTCCATACTGTTTTCCATAATGGCTGTACTAATTTACATTCCTTGCAGTAGTGTCCCAGGGTTCCCTTTTCTCCATATCCTCACCAACACTTGCTATGTTTTGTCTTTTTGATAATAGGCATTCTAACAAGCGTGAGGTGATATCTCATTGTGGTTTTGAATTGCATTTCCCTGACGATTAGTGATGCTGAGCATTTTTTTCATATACTTGTTGGCCATTTGTATGTCTTCTTTTGAAAAATTTCTATTCACATCCTTTGCCCATTTTTAAATTGGGTTATTCATTTTTTTGTTATTTAGTGGTTTGAGTTTCCTATATATTTTTGGATGTTAACTCCTTCGCTGTGCAGAAACATTTTACTTTGGTGTAAATTCTGTTTGTCTATTTTTGAATTTGTTGTGCTTTTGGGATCATATCCAAAAACTCACTGCCCAGACCAACGTCATGGAGCTTTTCTCGTATGTTTTCTTCTAGTAGTTTTACAGTTTCAGGTCTTATGTTTAAGTTTTTAATTTTTTGAGATGGAGTTTCGCTCTTGTTACCCAGGCTGGAGTGCAATGGTGCGATCTTGGCTCACCACAACTTCCACCTCCTGGGTTCAGGCAATTCTCCTGCCTCAGCCTCCTGAGTAGCTGGGATTACATGCACGCACCACCATGCCCAGCTAATTTTTTGTATTTTTAGTAGAGACGGGGTTTCACCATATTGACCAGGATGGTCTCGATCTCTTGACCTCGTGATCCACCCGCTTCGGCCTCCCAAAGTGCTGGGATTACAGGCTTGAGCCACCGCGCCCAGCCTATGTTTAAGTTTTTAATCTATTTTGAGTTGATTTTTGTATTTGGTGTGAGATAACAATCCAGTTTCATTCTTTTGCATCTAGATATCCAGTTTTCCTAACACCTCTTATTGAACAGATTGTTCTTTCCTCATTGTGTGTTCTTGCCACCTTTGATGAAGATCTAGTGCATGGTTTTATTTCTATTCTTGCTATCCTGTTCCATTGGTCTATGTGTCTATTTTGATGCTGAATAAACACTTGTTTTAAAATGCAAATAATCCTGTGAGGTCTACTGGTCACCACAATAGTGCTGAATTGGTTAACCAGCTCTCTCTCTAAAAAATACCCTGATTTGTAGTATTTGCCAATTTATCATCAAGGCTGAAAGATTCTGAATATTTAGCAATCAGCCCTTGAAAACCTGTACCACCCAGATCTAGCACATCATTACAGCTGCCACCTCTTTGTGAAATACCTAGAAGAAGTTGCTTCTCTATTGCCCTCTAGTTAAGAATAGCAGTTTGTGGAAATGAGAGATTCGCTGAAAGAAAAAAGTTGGAAATGTAATTTTAAAAAATTTGGGCCAACAATTAGGGAGCAGAACAAGTGGGAAGGCAACCAAGATGAACCGCATATACTTCACAATAATGTCTCTACTAGATTTAGTGTCTAGCACAGCCTAGAAGTAGATGTATTGGTTATATGGTCAGTTTTATGATGGTAGTGATAATGATGATAGTGTTAGTGATGATGGTTGTGATGGTGATGAAGTTGATAACGTGATGTGTGTTTTTGTGGAAAGAGCACTGAACTAAGACTCTTGGTTTTGGGTTCCAGTCTCAGGCTCTGGCATTTGTTAGCTGTGTCCTTGAGCAAGTCACATAAGGAAAATGATAATAATACTTTGTTAAATAGTATAGTGATAAGAAGACAAAATCAGAGAATATACATGGTTTACATGCTAGAAAGTGTAACTAGCATGACCATACAAAGCAGTTATAAAGTGCTAATTTTATATAACCTGGCACTTTTTGGTTTACAGGGAGAGTCATGGACACAGCACAATTTCAGATTTACATGTACATACCAGAATTGATGTTGAATAGACCTTACTTGGATCTAAGGTCACGACTGGGTCTTAGGAAGGGACCTTAACAATGATCCAAATACACCCCTGCAGAAACCAAAGCCCAGATAAGTAAAAATATTTTATTCCTTTATTGACCATCCTTTCTGTGATAGGAGCTATAGTATGTATTGTGGATGAGACAAACGTAGATAACGTGGATGGTCCTTGCCTAGAAGGAGATTATAATCTTATAGTAACAAAGCTGGGGCAAAGACTTAGGACATAGAACCCTAGCTAATGCTCCTAGCTGAGTAGAGTCATTAGTAAATTTGCTTGGTTTGTTTCTAGTTATACTTCTGTTCCCATAAGGTCAATAGTAAATACAAATAAATTTGGATTTCCACAAATCTTGTTTCTCGTACAAGGGGATGTGGCTCAGTCAATACTTTTATATGCTGAAGGTTCACGTTCTTACGAAGTCTTAATTAAATGAATAACTAGCCTTAAAAATAGAGATGTAAATAAAATGAGAAATATCATAGTGAATATAGCAATTGTTTTTCTTTGCTGTTCTTGAATACACATACCTGATAAAAATCCAATGTAAGTGTGTTGGGTAGAGCCTGGGGAGAGTATACAGAGTTCTAGGTCAACTCCTTTCATCAATCTTGTTTCATTCTGAAAGACAAGTTACTCTACATACTTGAGTGTCAGTTCCTTCATCTGAAAACAGGGATGAGGCATGTAGTCATGGCTGAGTGGTTAAGGCAGTGGATTTGAAAAACGGGGATGATAAAATATGCATAATATTACAGTAAGAATTAAGTGAGATGATGCATACAAAACACCTAGTCTGATTTCTACTAGTCTAATAGATTTTTAATATTATCATTAGCATTATCATTGCTATTATATGGCACATGTAAAGCAACTTGCCTACAGTCACATGGTTAAAAAGTAATAGTAACAGGATTTAAAACCGGCTAGGTTTGATTTCAAAGTCCATCAATCTCACTGTGCTACAATGCCCACTCAATCATTCCAGTAACACTATTTCCCCCAGGAATCACCCAGAGAGATTCTGAGGCCAGTCCCAATTCCCCAATAATGGATTCTGTCGTTTGAAAATTGTATTTGTCTGTCTTTTATTGTCTTTCTGGCTATTCTTGGGTCTTGACTCTTCAGCTCTTTTTTTTTTTAGATGGTGTCTTGCTCTGTTGCCCAGGCTGGAGTGCATTGGTGCAATCTCTACTCACTACAACCTCTGCCTCCTGGGTTCAAGCAATTCTCCTACCTCAGCTTCCCCAGTAGCCAGGACTACAGGCATGTGCCACCAAACCCAGCTAATTTTTGTATTTTAGTAGAGACAGGGTTTCACCACATTGGCCAGGCTGGTCTCGAACTCCTGACCTCAGGTGATATGCCCGTCCCGGCCTCCCAAAGTGCTGAGATTACAGGCGTGAGCCACCACTCCTGGCTGTCAGCTCTATTTTGTTTGAAGGGGGACAGAAATACTCTTTCTGCTTTTGGCACCATTACTTTATCTCAGAACAGAGCAAACCCGGTTCCTCAATATCCCCTAGCTCTGAGGGCCATACCTGATACTTCTTTTGTTCCCTCTTTTGCCCCTGTTCTCTGTAAATTTATGAGATATATGAGAGATATTCACTCTCAAGGCTCCTAGGAGCTCATTCCAGGTATTTTAATCACAGTTTTTTCATCCTGTTCCTGAACTTCCTGACATTGCAGGAACAGCAGAAATAATTAACACTCAATTTTAGTTTTCAAGAAAAAGAACTCATGTTTTTAGCAAAACATCAAATCAGAATGATCCAGAAAGATAGTTAAGTTTTATTATTCTTAGTAAGAGCAATGCATAGGTAGTGAGTGAGTCAATTTATTACAGCAAGCACTATGAAATGTGACAAAGTGATATATTACTGTTAGATAACCTTTGGGCTGCTTATCATGTCCACCAACCAGCAAGTTCTTGACACTGCATTTTGTGAAGCCCAGAAATGCCAGGACTCTGAAAACCGGATCTAAGGATATAAAAGAACAATATGCACCTAATTTGCCACTGACACAGCTCAGTTTGATAAATTTCCACAGCAATTCCCCTTGGAATCTTTTTGATTGAGATATTTTTCTTCTTCTAAAGAATAGTTTTTCCCCATTCTTTTGTGATGCCTGAGGAATTATTTTTCCTTGTTGCTGGGGAGGGGGAAGCAAGATTTCTTGTAATGATCAAATACATCTAGCTCTTTGTCATTTTTCTTCTAACTCCATAAATACTTTTTTTTAACTGAAGAAACTGGAAACTAGACCCTGGAAATCATTATTTCTAAGACTACTATTGCTTTGCCACCTACTTCAGAATGCTTCCTTTACTAAAATGTTTGTAATACAGGTTTCATACTTAACATACAAAAATATCAGGGTAAGACTTGGCTGTCTACAATCTATTTATTGTTGTGGAAAATTATTATTCACTCCAAGCCCAGTGAGGAGGGATTTGGGGGGAATTTACATGAGATAGCTATTTTTAATGATAATTTATAAATAGACACTTGCTACTTACAGATTCATCTTTAGAAGAATCATTCCTCTCTTTTATAAAGCATTAAAATCAGGAGAGGGAGGTTGAGTGCATATGGTGTTTTCTTTTTTACTGAGCTATTTTTAGGACAAGGACGATATCTCTTCCATAAACATAGTAGGCACTCAAAATGTAGTTATTAGTGAATGTTGGATACTATGAATGGAAGTGATTTGATTGATGGTTATAGAATGTCATTTTCCTTTGCTTTCTGGAGGATGTGGGAAGTAACAATACATTTATCCACAGGAGGAGAAACCAAAGCGTTCTAATTCTCTGGTGGATGATTTCACCTGGGAGGATCCTCTCATCACATTAAAATCTATATCCACTCCAACGCATGCTGATTGGTGATTGCTGATGCTTGCCATGGCCAGTGCAGTGTCTTTACCCCAAGGATGGAAAAATACAGCAGCCTGTCTTTCCCTAGGTCTCTCAGACCACAACTCTTGACTTGCAACCCAGCATTGGGCCAGAAATTTTATGAATAAATGTTTAAAATATGGCAACTGCAATTCAGTCATTGCCTATAGTGAATTGTGACATTTGATGGTGGCCTATACAATGATAAAATACTTTCAAATGATGACATTGGGATCTACAGAATTGGAATGCTACTTTACCTTTGTATTTAATGAACAACTGTTTGAAATTATTGAATAAACCATCAGCAAAGCCTAAAATACAAGACATCTAAGAAATTTCTTGTGCATAAAATTCCCTTCCTTCTTTCCTTCATTTCTTGTGGTAAAGCCCATTCAAGGTCTACCTTGGGCTACTGCCTGAGTAACTTTACCTGCAATATTAGTCCATCCATACATACATCTAATTGTTTAATCTATTGTCTGTCTATCCATCCATCCATCAATCCATTCAGACAGCCATTAATTTATCATCCAGCCAGCCAGCCATTGAACTACATTCATTGATTCTTTTTTCCATCTCTCCATCTACCTTTCTTCATTTGTTCAGCCACCCACCCATCTTCTATCCATCTGTATATTTATTATCCAGCCAGTCAGCCATTGAACTACATTCATTGATTCTTTTTTCCATCTCTCCATCTACCTTTCATCATTTGTTCAGCCACCCACCCATCTTCTATCCATCTGTATATTTATTATCCAGCCAGTCAGCCATTAATCTACATTCATTGATTCACCCACCCTCAGAGTTGAATGCCTACTCTGTGCTGAGTTCAGGTCAGCTGTTTTGCAAAACATTTTAAAATCTGGATTTTTCCTGATTAGGTTTCTCATTATGAGATTCATGTCAAAACAAATTGGAGGGGTGGGGCTTGAACACATCAAAAACATATATGTGATCTGCTCAGTGTATCACATCAGGACAGACTTGTCAGTTTCTTTCATTGTTGGAAATTTTCACTGGATTTCTCTTCTGGCAAAATACAAGTGTCTTTTATAATTAGTATTTGCTTATGGGGGTAATAATTTGAGACCATGTGATATCCTGTTCTGCAACCATCTTTCACTGGTTTAATATCCATTGATAATCCTCATCAGAATCAATTATTATTATAGTGGTGATTTTCTGTTCCTATTACTCTCTCTGTATTCATTGGCATTCTTCTATAAAAAAGAGCTTTCTCTTTTCTCCATTTTCTTCCACCATATTCTTTAAAGAACATTCTAACGCAGGACTAATAGGAAATTCCACCTCCATCATCACTGGGGCAACTTCACCATCTCCTCACCTGTCAAAGACTCACCAAGGTCCTGAGGGATTCTCATAGTGGTGGGACTCTACCCTGGTCACCACTACAGTGCCCAGCATTTCAGCCAGATGATCTCTTCATGTCTGCTATTTTGGCATTTCCACACATTCCTGGGACAAGAGAATTCTTTGCAAATCCAGGAGCCTCATGCCTATCATCATGCCTCCGTGGTGCCACCATGGAGTGGTGCTCCAACATCCAACCTGTGATAAGCCTTAGGGAAACCCCTGCTTCTTCTGGTTGCCAGAGGCACCCACCTCTTTTTTTTGTTTTACTGCATGATATTAAGCAGAATTGTCTCATTGTCTTTCTTAGTCTTTTGCAAAACACAGGAAAAACTTTTGAATTTGAGTCTACAGTTTTCCACACTCCAAAGAAGTATTGCAGATCTGCCTACTACTTGGGTTGGGGTCAGCAAGGTCTACAAAGAGTGAAACTGTGAGAAATTAAAAAATTTATCCTGTCATATGGAATTTGTGGAATTACCTGGAATTGTAACTATGAGTTGTAATTAGGAAAAATATGTTCTGAGTTCCAAAATCGTGACTTGCAAATGAACACAATTATTTTGTAATGAGTAGAGCCAAGCAGCAATATCTGAGGTTTATAGCACTTACTTTCTACAAAGTAATGTTAATTTGCTTTCTGGTAGCTCATTTCTATTTGATTTTCATTCAACATTTCTAGAACATTAATTTGTCCAATCCCATGAGAGGAATTTATTACTTTTAACAATTCATTTGTTTTTTAAGTTATTCTCCTAGAGCTGGATTTTAAACTTGCCAATTTACCATACACTTTCTTCACGTTATTTTATGCAATTTGTGTGTGTGTATATACTGATATTCATTCATATACATATTCATCTATATCAATTTTAGTATTCTAAATAAGACCACTTGTTTTGATCACTATTACATATCATCTATACAGACTTCTTATCTTGGTAGTATCTTTTCACCTTACCAACTCTTTATGGTCTTTGAAATTTGTTTGAAAATTACACAATATCATTAATTATTTCATTGTTCTAAGCTTCCTAGTCCCCTTCCTGTTCTCCATGTTCATACAGAAGGCCATATGCAGCCATGCTTATGGTCCTTCTGGATGCCAATCACTCTTTTTTATGTGCTTTTAGAAAGAACAAAGAACCATCTGAAGTGGATGACGCTGAAGATAAGTGTGAAAACATGATCACAATTGAAAATGGCATCCCCTGTGATCCCCTGGACACGAAGGGAGGGCATATTAATGATGCCTTCATGACAGAGGATGAGAGGCTCACCCCTCTCTGAAGGGCTATTGTTCTGCTTCCTCAAGAAATTAAAACATTTGTTTCTGTGTGACTGCTGACCGTCCTGAAATACCAAGAGCAGATCATATATTTTGTTTCACCATTCTTCTTTTGTAATAAATTTTGAATGTGCTTGAAAGTGAAAAGCAATGAATCATACCCACCAAGACGATTGAAATCATAAGCTATTGATGACTCAAAATTCTAAAATATTTCCTGACAATATAGTGTAATAAATGTGGTCATGTGGTATTTGTAGTTATTGATTTAAGCATTTTCAGAAATAAGATCAGGCCTATATATATATAGTCACACTTCAAAGACCTAAGGAAAAATATATTTTCCAGTGGAGAATACATGTAATATGATGGAGAAATCACTGAAAATGGATCCTTTTTGATGATCACATATATCACTCTGTATATGACTAAGTAAGCAAAAGTGAGAAGTAATTATTATAAACGGATGGATAAAATGGAAGTATTGGTATACAGGGTAGAATTTTATCCTGTTATCACACCAACAATTGCTTATATATTTTCTGAATATCAGCCCCTAATAGGACAATTCTATTTGTTGACCATTTCTATAATTTGTAAAAGTCCAATCTGTGCTAACTTAATAAAATAATAATCATGTCTTTTTGATTGTGTGACTGATTGTGGTCTGAAATTTATTTTCACACTGTGGAACATAGTCTTGTTTTATTAGTTATCTATAATCTGCTTACAGCCCTAGAAATGAATTATTTTTGTTCTGTGTATCCTTGTTTGAAGACTCCTTGTAGTTTTTAGGTTGATTTGTTTTCCAGATAGGGCATGAATAATTCTAAATTCTAGGAATGATGATTATACATTTATTAATGAAAATAAAATTTGCTACTCAATTTCCCACTGCTATCACCCATAGTTAAGATTACAGCAGTAGTCTCTAACTCACTTCCCTGCCTCCAGTGTGCCTCCTTGCATACAAACTCTAAGATAGGTAGCTGCATACAGCAGGTTTATTGGGACATGCTCTTAGGAGATACACCTTTAAGTAGTCAGGAAGGAAATGTGTGATGGACAGACGTTAAGGTGGCCACCATCATTCCCATGTCCTGGTGTTCACACCTTCATGTAATCCCCTCCTCTTCAGTAAGTATGGTACCTGTGGCTTGCTTTTAATGAATGGAATACAATAAAAGTGATGAGATGTCACACTCCTGCAATTACTTTATATTACATCTGAGTCTGTCTTGCTAGCAGATTTGTTTTTGAGACTCTGTGCTGGCTTGATTCAATAAGTGGCCATGTTGGGAAACTCCATGTGAAAGAAACTGTGGTCAGTCTCTAGGACAGGGGTGTCCAATCTTTTGGCTTCCCTGGGCCAAACTGGAAGAATTGTCTTGGCTCGTACATAAAATATGCTAACACTAGCAATAGCTGATGAGCTAAAAAAAAAAAAAATTGCCGAAAGTGTTTACAAATCTGTGTTGGGCCACATTCAAAGCTGTCCCGGGCTGCAAGTGGCCTGCAGGCCACAGGTTAGGCAGGATTGCTCTAGGAATTGCTGGTGACCTCTAGGCACCAAGGACAGTCTCCAGCCAACAGCCATCAGGAAGCTGGGATCCTCAGTCTGACAAGGAAATGAATTCTGACAACAACTGGAGTAAGCTTGAAAGCAGATTTTTCCCCACTCAAATCTCCAGATGAGAATGCAATCTGATCTATACTTTGCAGCCTGAGCAGAAGAAACAGTTAGGCTGTGCGCAGACTCTTGACCATGGACACTGTGAGATGATAAATGCATATTTTTTTTTTAGCTGTTAAGTTTGTGGCAGCAACAGGTAACAAATAGGGTAGAATTAGGCAGATGTAAACCTGGTCCTGTTAGTTCCTGACGTAGACATTTTTAAATGGCTTCTCATTATCCTTAGGCTGAAGCTAGACCCCTTAACACAGGGCCTGCTGAAGTTTGATGCCTCTCCACCTCCACCTCCCTCCCTAACTTCATCTTTCACAAGTTCTCTCTCTTTTCCATCCAGTCATACATAGATCTCTCACTTCCCAGATTTTGAACAGTCTGTTTTCTCTACCCTACCTCTCAGTCACTCTTGTACCTTGTTCTTAGGGTCTTTGTCATGTGAACATTTTGATCTCAGGAAGTTTTTGCCAAACATCCAGACTATGTGCTTCTACAACACCCAGATAATTATACTCATCTCATTGTACTATAATTATTATTTTTAAACATGTTTTCTATGGAGGAAGGGGACCACAAAGGCAAGAGTGTTTTAGGACTCACAAAAGTCCTAATGCAGTCTTGTCTCCATAAACATTTTTGTAACCCACTTCACTTTGCCCTTGACCTCCAACCAGATAGAATTAACTATTGCTTCGTAATTTGATTATGTCCATACATTTTTATTCATAATGATTGTAACACTTCATTTTATTTACTTGTTTATATGTTTGTATCTTCTCACTAAACAAAATATTCTTAGAGGTAGTGTACAAGTCACTTAGCATAGTGCCTTATCTCCGTTTCCTTATTTTCTCACTTCTTTCTTTCCTTTATCCTACAACATGGAGCAAAACGAAACACAATCCATGCTCTTGAAAAGCTGAAAGTCTGTGTAGTCAGAGCTACACAGACTATAAATGTGTGCTAATAAACAAGCTCACGAAGTGGTAGCTGTTGCAAGCTCATAGTTTCATCCCTCCTGGGAGCAAAGCCTGCCGCTCTTTGTAAGTGGAGGAGTTTCAATATGTGGGTAGGATATTTTTGAGTTGAAGACCATTTTGACTTGGGAAGCATATGCTACTTAATATTATAGTAGGCTTCCTTATTTTTAGAAAATGAATGAGATTTGACCTGTTGGTTGACAATATGTGACTTACTAAATAATCATTTTCTATCTTATGCTCTTTTGAGTTGTATACTTCAGGAGAATAGTGTGGCTTCGCATATAGAAGTCTTTCACAGGTGAAACGTCTCCTGAGTTCAATCAGCCTGTGCTAGGAAGCATAATTCAAGGTATGCACTCTCAGCACGGTGCAAATTGTTCTTGGTGGTGAGAAAAAACTTGAGATGTTATATAGTGGTTTGTAGTTGTATTAGTCCATCCTCACACTATTATAGAGAAATACCTGGGACTGGGTACTTTGTAAAGAAAAGAGGTTTAATTGGCTCACAGTTCTGCAGGCTGTAAAGAAAGCATAGCTACTTCTGCTTCTGGGGAGGCCTCAGGAAACTTCCAATCATGGTGCAAGGCAAAGGGGGCCAGGTGTCTCACATGGCAGGAGAAGGAGAAAGAGAAACCAAGGGGGAGGTGCTGCACACTTTTAAACAACCAGATCTCATGAGAACTCACCCACTATCATGAGAACAGGACCAAGAGGATGGTGCTAAATTATTCGTGAGATTCCACCCCTATGTTCCATCCACCTCCTACCAGGCTCTACCTCCAACACTGGAGACTACAATTCAACATGACATTTGATGAGGACACAGGTCTAGATCATATTGGTAGCCCTCCAAAGGATCACAGTACATAAACAGATAAACAGTATATCTAAGGTATTATAGTTTCATGGGCTAGCTATTATGAAAAAGGTCTAAACGGCTACAATAATGAAAAGAAGGTCGAGAAACACTGATTCTTGATGTTTCTTATTTTGAAGGGATGGGACAAACACATTTTGATATAAGACCACTTTCTTCACTGTTTCTTCTGATGGGGAGGGAATTTATTCCACGGGGGAAGGTCTGTTCCACTAAACATCCTTGTTGGGAAAGTTTTCTATGTTAGTGGAGATGTTCTGTAACCTTGACAATCAATGCAACAGCAAAATAGAGCTTATATCTCCTGCCTACTGCCTTTGACAAACACTCTGGGTAATTAGAGAGCAGTCAATCATCAACCACACCTCTCACTTCTAATTTAATGATCCTGTAATGTGCCATGAGGGAACACATTGTGAGGTGATATGTACTGGAAACAAAATGTTTTAAAGGAAGTGGAAATATAGCTGTCATTCCAGTTTCCAAGTTCCTAGCAAAAACTACTGGATGAAACTGGAAGGACAGAAGTGTCTGAAAACCAATTGAAAGAAAAGAACAAACTGCAGAGAGAGAGAGAGAGAGAGAGAGAGGGAAGGAGGGAGGGCGCATGTGCGAGGGAGACTGAAAAGCGAATTACACCAGTATTAACTTCCATCCAATCAGGTAACGATGACCATGATTTAAAATAATTACTTTTTTTCTGACCATGACTATCATTGCACCAGTTGACATTTATTGAATCCACTGGCTTCCCAATCAATTTAGTTTAAAGAGTTTATCTGGTGGATGGACAAGTTAGTTTGTTAAATTAACTAGTCAGTATGGTAAAACTTTGTGCATTGGTCAAAT